CCCTCACGAGACTACAACTCGTCCACTAGGGTAACCTAGGGGTTTAAAGGCTTATTGTATGCGCTAAATACAACCGCGATTCTTGCGAAAGTGAGTTAGGTTTTCTTTCAGTTTTTTTTCTTTGCTAGAGGACTAGAAAAAGTTTAGGTGTGAGGGTATTTGATAATCACATTTTATTATAATTTTATACCCTCATTATCTATTTTATATGAATAAATATGCTACTAATAATTATTCTTATCTTTAATTACAGGTTAATAAAGAATAAATCTCAAACTCCAATCTCTCAACAAAAAGCCCTTGATTTAATGAAGAAATGAAGCCTATGAAGCCAAAGGAATTCTTTTAAATATTTAATGAAGAAATAAATCAAAGCTCAATGGAAAAATCAAGAGAAAATGCCAAAGCCCAAATGTCAAAGCCCAAAAGTCCAAGCTAAAGCCAAAGACCCAAACCCAAAAGCCAAATATAAGAGGATCTGCGGACAGCACACAGGAGAAGGGCAGGTATCGATGCCTGCATCGATGGCGGCATCGATGCCTGCATCGATACCAACATCAGCATCGATGCCTGCATCGATACCTGTATCGATGCAGGCATCGATACCCTGAGCAGTTAGTTACGAATCTAAGACTGATTTTTGATATTTTTGGATAAGATTTTAATCCAATGGCTCTCATTTACTGATGTTTACTATAAATAAGGGTAGAGAGTGAGGGGTTAGGGGTGTAAAAATTTTTATAACTCCTTTTGGAGAGGAGGGCTATTCTTAATTGAGAAGGCCTTCCAAATTTGTAACTTTTTGTTATAATTATTAATAATAATTTTTTCACCACTTTAAATATTTTTTCTCTTTGTTGGATGATGAAGATGGAGATGAAGAATTATTTAGAGGTTTGCATTTATTTTCTTTTTCTCTTTTATTTCTTTTTATTGCTTATTAGTTTAGATTTATTTCTATGCTTATAATTAGATTTTATTTTCTTGTTAAATAGCCAAGAGGCTAGAACCCTCTTACCTTAGATTTATTTCATGCTTATAGATTAGATTTATTTCATGCTTATAGAGTAGATTTATTTTCTTGCATTTAATTCTTGTAATTTATTTTGTAGTTTAGATTTTGTAATTTATTTTGTAGTTAGATTTTAATTTCTTGCACTATTCACCTTGAGTCTAGAACCCTCTTGGGTTTAGTTTTTCTTTTTATTTATTTTTATTTTGTTTGATTTGCCTTTAGGCTAGAACCCTCTAGGGAATCATCCTTTTCTAAGAAATGGGTTCAATTTTAGATTACCCATATCTATAATTGAATCCACCATCTTTAATTTCTTGCATTTTCTTTTATTCTTGAATTTTATTTTTCATTCTTGATTTTTATTTGATTTTTCCTTCTTGCCTTATTAATCACATTCATTCTTTGCCACATCCACTCTCACTTACATTTTTTGCCTAATTACACACCATTTTCACTCTCTCAATCTCTTCACAATCATATTCACTCATCACTCCTATTTTGTCACGCACACAACATAAGAACAGATTTTATATTTTCTCCTACAAAACACCTTCCTCGTGGGATCGATATCTTTATACTATAACTTGACACGGTTGTGCACTTGCAACATTTTTGGTACATATTTATATCGCATCAACTATATACTTGTTGAACAGGTCACCAACAAAGCGCGTTGATAATCTTACTCCTGAAGAGGTGTGGACTGGTTATAAGCCAAGTGTAAGACATCTCAAAGTGTTTGGCTCTATTACTTATGCTCATATTCTAGCAGAAAGAAGAAAGAAACTTGATGACAAATGCGAGAAGATAGTTTTTATTGGCTACAAGTCCGGAGGCTACAAAGTCTACAATCCTACTATAAAAAAGGTGATTGTAAGCAGAGATGTTATGTTTGCCGAAGAAGAAGTTTGGAATTGGGATCTAGAAACATAAAACGATTCACGTCGTACTCTCCTTGATATTCTTAAAGATGGTGTCCATGTTGCAACTGAAGAAGCACCACTAGCCAATGCTCCTGAAGCTCCAACCCCGCAAGTTCCATTAGAAGTTAAAAGACCAAGAAGAAATAGTCAACCATCAGTTTTGTTGAGAGATTATAAAGTAACTCCAGATGATGATGTTGATGCAGATGGAGATATAGCGCACTTTACAATGTTTGTAGATTGTGAGCCAGTTATATATGTTTGAAGAGGCTATTCAAGATCCTAAGTGGATAAATGCAATGGAAGAAGAGATAAAAGCGATTAAGAAGAATAACATGTGGTAGCTTACTAATATCCCACGAGGACATAAAGCAATTGATGTGAAGTGGGTTTTTAAAATAAAGATTAAAGCGAACGGCTAGGTTGAGCGGCATAAAGCAAGATTGGTGGCGAAAGGCTACGAGCAAAGATCTGGTTATGATTACCAAGAGATATTTTTTCTTGTTGCTAAAATTGAAACTGTTAGAATAACAATTCCCCTGAATGCACAGAAGCATTGGAATATTCATCAGATGGACGTGAAGTCAGCTTTTCTTGATGGGCCACTTGAAGAAGAAGTTTTTGTAAAGCAACCACTTGGATTTGAAGCAACCACTTGGATTTGTGAAGAAAGGGTGCAAACATAAAATATACAAGTTGAAGAAAGCCTTGTATGGACTAAAACGGGCGTCGCAAGCATGGAACAAAAGAATAGATTTTTTTTATTTTAGAAAAATGAATTTCAGAAGTGCTCCTCCGATCATGCCTTATATGTGAAGATAAACAACTGTGGTGATATACTATTATTACGCCTTTATGTTGATGACTTGATTTTTACAGGCAATAACATTAGTACGATTGAAGAGTTTAAGAAGTCGATGATGCATGAATTTGAGATGACAAATCTTGGCTTGATGTCTTATTTTCTCAGTATTGAAGTTGTTCAAGACGATGATGGGATTTTCATATGTCAAAAGAGGTACTGTGCAGAGTTGTTAAAGAGGTTTCAGATGTTTGATTGCAATCCTGTTAGAATTCCCTTAGAGGTTGGTGCTAAATTATCTCGAGAAGGTAATTGTGCACAAGTTGATTCTACTTATTTCAAGCAAATTATTGGGAGTTTGAGATGTCTCACATGCACAATGCTAGATATAGCCTATGGAGTTGGTTTAATCAGCAGATATTTGGAGGACCCTTGCTAATCTCATCTACAAGTTGCAAAGAGAATTATGCGGTATCTAAAGGGGACTTATGATCATGGTTTGTTTTATTCTTTATCTAATAATTGTGATGTTGTAGGCTATTCTGATAGTTATTGGAGTGAAGATCATGATGATCGTAAAAGTCCTTCTGGCTATATTTTTAATTTTGGCTCCACCGCATTTTCATGGTCATCGAAGAAGCAGTCTATTGTTGCACTCTCAAATTGTGCAGCGGAGTATGTAGCAGCTACATCGAGTGCTTGTCAATCAATTTGGTTCCATAATGCACTAGGTCAAATTCATATTCACGTTGAAGGTTCTACAAAGATTTATGTTGGCAACAAGTACGCAAATTGATTTGGCGAAGAATCCAGTCGCTCACGGAAGGAGCAAACATATTCATACTCGTTACCACTTTCTACGAGACAATGTTGAGAAGATTGAGATCATGTTGGTTTATTGCAAGTCTGAAGACCAAGTTGCGTGCGGACAACCTCACGAAACCTTTGACATTTGAAGTGTTTGTCAAGTTGAAGTGCATGATGGGAATGAAGACTTTACAGAATTAGGATTAAGAGGGGATGTTGAAGTTAATCCTAATTCTAAAATGATTTGAGTTTATTATCTATAGAAATTCACCTCTTTTATAAGAGTTTGTTTTGTTAGGAATTAGTTCATATTATTTATCTACAGGCTGTGAGTAGTTTGTCTTTAGAGTTTTTATTATATTAGAACTCTTGATAGATGAATTTTGTAAGCATTTAAATAGGCATTCATGCATCCTTGTACAAAAATAAAAAAGAAAAAAAAGTATACTGTAGCAACAACCAAAACAAAACAGAGAGCATAAATTTAGTTGTTCTCCCCCTTCCTCTCTCTTCATATATCTTGATTATTTAATTGCTTTTTTGTTAGTAGTTGATCCAACAAAAAGCTCAACAAATAGAGTGGCACTACAGGCACACCCCCAACCACACCTTGGGACACACCCCCTCTCTCAGCTACAGTGCACGGGGCCCACTTTAGATTTTTTAAAAAAATCTAAAATGGGCCCCGTGCACTGTAGCTGAGAGAGGGGATGTGTCCCAAGGTGTGGTTGGGGGTGTGTCTGTAGTGTTTTCCTGACGGAAAATATCTTTATGTTTAGAAGATTTTAGCAGAACTGATAGTATAGATAAGCTTAGGATTTTTTTTAAATTTAAAGGAAGATAGTAATTTAAGCTCTAAAACTACAGAAAACTAGTCAGTAACCTTCAAATTTCATATGATAATTAAACCTTGACAAAGTTAACAATTTCTTATCCATATCCAACCGGATTTACATCAAACTCTTTTTTTTCCTTACTACTGAACTAGTGAGCGAGCGTGTACATAACACGTACCGTATCAAATCTGCTTGCATCTATCGTCCGAGAAACCAGTAAGAAGCGCAGGCATTAGCAATTATGATAGCAAGCTTCTTCAAAGTCCACATAGGGAATATTGAAAGATTATTGAGAGTCATGAAAATAGACATTATTCAAACAAACATGAAGAGGGGTTATGCCTGTATGACCATTCGTATTCATCGCTGATGCATAAAATGTATTGTACCAGCAATTGCAATTGCATTTGATTACGAGGATGAGCCTTACGAATCAGAAATATCGTCCACATCCTCGCAAATATAACACCCAGTCGCCATCTCTACTGCTCATGATCCTGGTAAAAGACTGGACGAAGGATTTAAAGAGCTTTTGATCTGTCAATACTTTTGCATCAAAACCTGAAAATCTGAATATTGGGTCAAAGATATTAAGCACCAAAAACACCAACAAACCACAAGTAAATGATAATTTGAACCCGACGGCAGATATCTTTATAACAGACCTACTATGGAAAAGGATAGGGATTTTCCCATTACCTTGTTATCTGCTAAATCTTACCCCCAAAGCCCTATGATATTTTACTCTCCTCTGATTAAACATAAATTAATTCAATTTGGAAACCGTTACAATGGGAACAACATCAATAATCAATAAATTTTATCACTTCCGTCTTCCTTTTTTTCTTTGTTTAATTTCATCATTGGAGATTCACCCAAATATGTCAGGGTGAAACCTTCCTGGCATCTGGCTACTCTGCTGCTCTCGCATTAGTCGCAGTTTCAACTCATAGTTCTCTATCTGCAAAACAACCACCAAAAAAAGGTAAAATAAAAAACAAACAAAAATACCACCTTTATTGCATCATAAATGAACGTTTTATATGATACCTGGAGCTTTCTCAGCTGTTCGTCTCGCTGCGACATCATCTCCTTTAACTGTTGAAGCTCTATGCTGCATCTGTCAAATTCTTCCTTTTGCCCATGCAGGGTTTTAAACCCTCGCTTCCAAATGTCATTCTCCTGAAGCAGCTTTTCGACTTGTTCCTTCATTATTGCATGTTCCTATATTTACAACAATTCATTACCTCAGACGCATTCAAATATAACAATATTTGAGACATAGCGGTTCATAGCTTAATGATGAAACATGAGCATGTACCTTGTGATAGCTTTGAGCTGCTTCAGCAGAAGCTCGTGCGACAATTGATTTTTCCAAGCCCTCCAAAACCCTGGATGCACGAGCTCTGGCATCATCCATATTTGAAGCATTTGACATCTCTATCACAATCAGCTCAACCCATTCTGATCCAGAGCTTGGAAGATTGCAGGCCACAGATTGGTTCTCAGAAGCACCATCCCCGCCACAATGACTCAAATTACCTGTGATATTTTCAGTTACAGTAGTGTGAAAAAGTTAAATTGCCACTGGGATGCGCAAAGATTCTGTCTCCTTAGTTGATGCAGATATATGATTCCATTTGATCAAAAAAATTGCAAGAATAACTGTTGTTTGATGATCCTGATATGGCATACGCTTTATAAGTTGTGTTTGGTTGTAACATTATTCTGGGAGTTCTTAGTATGCAAGAACTAAGGTGCTACTCCAACATGCTCATGGTGAGAGATCCAGAGGCTTTTACCTAGCCATAAAACTATCAAAAACCAAAGATGAAAAATAGAAAAATACTAAGAAGTAAGAACAGCCTTTTGGTGCCTTTAACAAAAGGAACAACGGAAACTCTACATTTGAGTTTTGTTTCTTTGCTATGTCGTTAAAATTGCAAGCTTAGGATTATGAGTTGAAACTGATGCTTCAGATACACATTGGGCAGGAATTCTATTTGCAATTCCACCAAAATATTTGCGCTCCAAATTGGTATTAGAGCCTAGAGCCTGGTTCAAGGACAAAGATCAACCAATTATTCTTTACCTCCCAAACTTAATCTTCAAAGAAAAAGAGCTGCAAGAAGAATTTGAAGAAACTATGGTCTTAGGACCAATAGCCCGCCGTAAAAAATAACAATATGAGCTAATGATGAGCACATGAAGAATTACTTCCCCAGTACGATTCTTTGATCAAGATACAGCTCCAGAAACTGGTTAAAAGCATGATGGGACCAGCTCGACTCTAAAGATGAAAGAGCACCAAGGCAAATATAGCCAGAAAAAACGAGAGAATCCAAGGACATCGTCACTTTTCCACGAAGTTCAAAGTCATTATTTAAAGCAACTTTGCAAAAACTACTTTTCAAAAAGCTATTTTGCTAAAGTTACTTTATTAAAGAAAGATGCCTCCAAAAGATGCTTCCCAAATTTGTTGCTTGTCTATATAAGAGGGAGGTCGGGTTCTAAAGAGGGCATAAAAATTTAGAGAATAAGATAACAACATTGAGTCTCCTATAAAATTTGTTCCATCTTTTGTAAGTGGTATCAAAGTCGTCTGCAGACCTGGAATCCTATAGTAAAATCGTTGCAAGTTCTTCTTGTTATTAATATGATGTTCTAAATTTTCTTTCTTTCTCCAATCTGTCTTTATTATATAGTTTAATTCTGTTATTCTGTTTATATTAGCTTTGCTTATCAAGTTACGCCTGGAGGTAGAAAACAAAACTAGTATGTGCTCTCCTTTAAAGCAGCATGCTGGGATTGTGGTGACGTCTGTATGTAATAGCACGAGTGTTGTTAGTTTCGAGTCCTCATTTTCCTATAAACACTATTTCTATAAGGTTTGGGAATGGTTAGTTTTAGCCATTCTATATCCTCATCTCAAACAGAGAATCTTTCTTCTTGGGATCATGTATATCAGTTTTAGAGGATTCTATATCTTCTCCTGATAAACTATTTGTTTCTTTATTCATCATGTAAATTTGAGGATAACCATAATCCTCTTCACTATCTGTGTCTCATTACAATATTAATTCATAATATGAATTGTCGGAATGGATTCGAAGTTGGTTTATCTCTGAGATCCAATCCAAACTCAGATAAAACATCTTCTATAATTATTTTATTTGTATTTTTCTTTTATTAGCATAGCGGCCAACTTCTTGGCATATGAAGCATTTACATGTTTTCTTTGAAGTTTGGAGTTTCATAGTGTATTTTGATTTTTTTTGCATTTACATGTTTTCTTTGAAGTTTGGAGTTTCATAGTGTATTTTGATTTTTTTTCTCTTTGAGTTTTTCCCTTTTATTAATTGTTTTGTTTAGAAAACTTTCACTTTCTAAATTTATATAGTTTTTAAAATTTCTTTTGATAAAGCTTTCTCCTTCGGTAAAGCTGAGTACAACCATATTCCAAAAGATATCCTTGTATTTTGTCACAACAAAATTGTCCAATTTTCTTATGCCCTCTTTAGAACCTAACCTTCCTCTTATATCCTCTTATATAAACAAGCAACGAATTCGGAAATCATCTTTTGGAGGCATCTTTCTTTAAAAAAGTAACTTTAATAAAGTAATTTTAATAAGTAGCTTTTAAAAAATAACTTTTACAAGGTTGCTTTAAACAATGGCTTTGAACTTTTTGGAAAAGTGACGATGTCTTTATATTCTCTCGTTTTTTCTTGCTGTGTTTTCCTCGGTGTCCTTTACATCTTTAAGGTCGAGTTAGTCCCACCATACTTCTAATCAGTTTCTGGAATTGTATCTTGATCAAAGGATTGTATTGGGAAAATACTTCCTCTTGTACTCATCATTAGCTCATATTGCTCTTTTGCTCAGCGGGCTACCGGTCCTAAGACCATGATTTCTTCAAATTTTTCTTTCAGCTCTTTTCCTTTGAAGATTAGGGTTGGAAGATAAAGAATAATATGATTCTGTGTTATTATTTTCCCATTGTTATAATGGAGTGCTTCAAAGAATTCAATTGCTGCTAATTTTTCTTCTTCTTTAAGGTCATTCTTTTTCATTAAAATGGATATGCCTGAAAAGTGGTTCCCTTGTTAAGGGATCTATCCTCCAAATTTGATAAGAATGGCTCTTCTCATATGGTCAATATGGTGAACTCAAAAACCTTATGATATTTTCCTCTCTTCAAGTGTCTGACTACAAATACTAGGAATGAAGGATTTATATTCTTCGGGTCTAGTTTTATCAATATATAATTTATGAACTAGCCCTTTTGGATGTGTTCTTTAAAAGAGGGAACAAGCTCAAAACTTGCTAGTATCCGTAATCGGACATATTGATTTAATATAACCTAGGATGCTGATTTGAACAATCCCGTCGTCTTTTAGTTTTTCAAAAAAATAAAGCATTGTCTGATCATTGATCAGATTCCTCTGGTAACTATCAAACATGTCTCTTAATTTTCGTTGGGCTTGATATTCAGAGATATCAAACTTAAAGTAATGGACTAGTTTGGCGAAGGCGTCTATTTTTGTTATTGCCAAATCTTTAATCTCAATTTCTTCAAGGATAGTCCTTAGAGCTTGATCCTAAAGAAATTTTCATTTGTTCCTTTTCAGTCTTTAGTGTCGTTGACATTGTCAAGGTTGATTGACTCACGAGGTTTTCCATAATGCTTCTAAATTTATGGTACCCTTTCTCAAGATTTTGAATCTTGCGATTCTTTTTCTTGGTAATTTTTTTAATGCCGAGATACATGCATTAGTATATGGAGCGGAAACCTCATTTTTTTAGAGTTTCTTCCAAAGGTTATTGATAGCAATGTAGTCTTCTTCAGGTAAACTGGTGTTGTACAAGTTTTTTACTACATCCTTGAACTGCAATGGCATTTTCTAATATCCTTAGGGAGCGTTAGGCTTCTTATTTGGAGGAGTTTTATCCTCTCATTTTGTTTTACCCTTTATCTTAACAAATTCATTACTTATTGCCTCTTTTGTTGTGAGATTTTCTTTCATGCTTGATGCACTTGATACAATAAGGACAATCATAAGTATTGTCAGGTGTGGTAATTATTTTAATATATTACGCTAACTGATGAGTATACTTTTGTTTTGCAAATTGTGCATCAAGACTTATTATAAAGCTCATTCATCTCAGTACTTCATTATATCCATCAGTAATCATTTTTCTAGATTGGTAAGGAATCAGGCAATAATTTTAATGTACTTTTCCTTAATGTCTATATTAAGATGTTTGTTGATGATTTGAGTTATTTGAGGTATTGGGGATATTTCTTCCATACCTTTTTCCTTTAGGTCAAATTAAGGAGGAAGAGGTACTTTGCATTTACTGGGCTTTTTGTCTGGTAAGAAACTAGTCATGCTAGAAAAGAAAGCCAGCACCAATATTAGTAAATCCAGTAATATATCAAATAGTATTAAATATAATTCTCTAATTCCATGGATCATCTTATTTGCACATTTTTCTCAATTAAAGAATTAATTTTCTTTTCAAGAAATTGTGCAACAGCTTGATTATCTCTTTAAATAATGAACTCAGACAATAGTAAGTATATTTTTAAAGAACTAATAGTGTTTTGATAGCTAATAATTCTTTATCATATGTAGCATAATTTTTTTCCAGTCCTTTAAATTTTCCAGAGCAATATGCACATATTTCAGGGTCTAATTGGTTGATCTTTGTCCTTGAACCAGGCTCAGATACTAATTCGAAGCGCAGATGTTTTGGTGGAATTACAAATAGAATTCCTTACCAATGTGTATCTAAAGCATCAGTTTGTATAACTAATGTATCTCTAGATTGTGGTTGATAAAGATTTTTTGTTCTTTTATTTCTTTTTTGATGTTGCCAATTTCTTGTAATTGTTCATCATTGAGTGCTATTTTAATTTTGTCAGTATCCCAACAAGTTACTCCATTATTATTTGTCTTTATATTTTCTTCTGTTCTTCAATAAGTTTATTCTAAAGCGAAGAAATCTTTTCGGAGAGATTAGATATATACTTTTTTCCATAATTTAGTAAGCCTAGAAAGCTTTGCAGATCTTTTAGAGTTTTACAATTACCTTTGAACTCTTTGATCTTTGTAATGATACGATCTTGTAATTCAACATGACCACATTTATTTTTTTTTCCCTAAAAATTTGATATCTTCTTTCATTAAAGCTATCTTTTTAAGAGATAAAATAACGTGATTGAGCAATAGTTGTGCTACTGCTATCAGGTGTTCTTTGTGTTCTTCTTTAGTTTTTGAGAACACTAGGATGTCATCTATGTGACAATAATGAACAGTAAATGCTCATATGGTCATTAACTATAAAAAGGTAAATGAAGCCACCAAATTTGACATTTTCTTCATCCCCAACAGTGAATTAATATTATACAGAATCCGAGATGCTAAATAGATCAATAAATCCGATGCAAAATCAGGATTCTGGTAAATTAAAAGGATGCAGAAAGCAAAAGGCTAACAGCATTCAGTTGTCCTAATGGTGGACATTATGAATAGAACATTATGTCATTTGCCCTAAAAAATGCCCCTCAAGTGTTCCAGAAATGGATGAATAGTATTTTTGGGCATTTACTCTTTGTTGTTGTCTACACAGATGACATCCTCAGGGATAGGGAAAACAAAAAAAAAATCCTAAGAACAACCATCTTAATCATAAGGAACAATAGAATTAAACATTTGAATTTTTTTTCTTTGTTATGTCATTAAAATTGTAAGTATAGGATTGTGAGTTGAAACATTGTGTTCTCTACTGCGAAATATGACATACTCTTGGCAGAAAGCAAGCATAAAAAAGAAAGTAGATGATTTACATGTTCAACATACTCACAAGTATATTAAAAAAGATGTAAATTAGTATATGCCAGCAAGCCCTGTGCTAAGAAAGGGCATGATACTCGAGGATTTTGCTGCTCCAAACATTTGCAGTGAAGTTATATAGGATACAACTAAAATGACTGCAGAATTGGTCTATTCGCTATGGATGTGTCCAAACAAAATGCAACTTCTAAGCCACTCTTATTTAACACAACCCAACTTACTTCAAAGTGCACTTTCAGCACTTAGGCACCTTCCTAGGCGGCTGGCCACTGTGTCCAATACCATGGAGTCCAGAGCTTTGCATGAATGTTAAAAGATAAGTCATATTAAAGCAGGTTGACATTAAAACCAAAGATCAAGTTGAAATATAAAATCTAATGGTTAAGGTTAGAATCAAGAGAAGTTGTTATAAGATCAATCAAAGTTTAGTATTATGATGGAAAAAGCCTAGCACTAAAATCCAAAAAAAATGCGCGGCATTGGCCATGCCGTATCAGAAAGCTAGATGTCATAATAATAAATGGTTTAATGTGAATTTTAAACTGAGGTTGAAATAAGTGAAAAAGTCTAATTCTGCCCTCGCTGACTCCAAATGGAGATTATTTAAATTCTTTATCGCAATGTCCAAGTCATTGCCTGATACTTCAAGTGCTTTCGCGAGCAACTAAAAGAATGTTGACAGAAAATATAAGTGAACTATCAATTGTAAGAAATCAAACAATATGCTTATGTTACAACATAAAGAAAGATAAATAAAGGTTGACAAGCGTGTTTCAAATAGCAATTGTCATTTTCGAAGAGAAAATAATGCTAATAATAATCAGATAAAATGATTAAATATAAAAGGGAAAAAAATGGACACTAGTTGTTAATTGATATAGACCATTTGGTTAGTTTTGGAACTGACTGTAGGAAGACATATATGAAAAAATCAGTATGATATTCAACATACATGAATTCCGTGCGCATGAAGTTTATTGACAATTCGGCCTTTACATTAAATCTTTAAGTGGAACTAAAATTAACATCACTATCTTACGAAATAAGCTCGCCTTCACATTGGTTCAGATGTCCATAGAATAAGAGAAAAATTTAGCCTGTATAATGTCCCCTAATCCCCAATTAATCGGAATAAAGGCTTTGTTGTTATAGTTGTCACCATTGTCGTTATGTACTAATATCGCCAATTACAGATGCAAGCATCCAAACTGAGATATTCTCTAAATTTTTTTTAATTTATTACTTCCGTCTTATGGGGTCTTATAGTTATAACATCTGAAGAGTTACTTGGATGAGCCAGGTTGCATTCTCATATCCAACTACACCATCATTTCAAAGATTTTCCCGTTTCGGTTCTTACAAACTTTGATTTAGATTTCCTTTTCTTCTGAATGAAGTGGACAAGTATGCAAGGCAGAACAAAGACATACCCCCAAAATCTTCATCAGCAACCTAATCGGGCCTAAAGAAAAAGACATTTTTTAATATTAAAGACCATTGCTAAAGGCCTTTGTTAATGCATAGGATGATCATTTGAAATTCCTATACTTAGCCAAAATTTACTCTTAGAGTGACAAAACTTACAATCATTGCAGTAGTATCACCAAATGGCCTTCGTTTTAACAGGAAGGGTAATTTTATTAAATGTCTCTAGCGAGTTATTACTTAAATATCAATAGTCATTACTAGTATTATTATCTATACGACATTTTTTTACTGTGATGTGAATATGATCGAGTAAATTTCCAAAGTTGCTACTTTTTACATCATTTTCAAAGAAGGAGAAAGAAAATAATCACCACCAAAATTCCTTCATATCCAATCAAAAGTAATTATACGAAAAACACAACAACAATTCAAGGACGGGCATAGAAATATTACCTCCTCATCCATATCAGGAAACAGAGCCCTAAGCCGATCAACTGGAGAAACAACGGTCGAAGGTGGTGACGTGACCGAGGCCGGAGGCGGAGAGAACTGGAGGGCGGCGGAGCACCGGATCCTCTTCGAGGCTGGAACAGGCGTATGGTACTCGTCCTCGAAGAAGCTCGCCGGCGATCTTTTGCCGCACAATAGCACAGACATGATGATGATCGAAGCTCTGAGCTTCTAGGGTTTCTGATTATTTTTGGGAAAGCAGAGGGATTGATTCTAGGGTTTGAAGGAAGCTGAAGGAGAGAGAAAGGGATCGAGGGTAAAAGAATAAGGGCGTACTTCGGTTTAAAGATTAGGGAAAGGCTTCGTCCGGTAAAAAGGAATCGAACTGTACATATTGGGCTGAGCTGGGCCTAATTGACTGGACTGTGATCTTTGACCAAAAACAGGCTGGATTTATATGCCCACATATTGGGTCCACTTTTATGCCTTGCCCATTATGTTTTGGGAAATTTCTAGCCCCCAAATAAAGAGACAAATTCACCATGTCCCAAGAATAAGTAAACAAATTTAATATCTCTAAAATTAAATTTTGTAATCAATCACCCCCATCCAGCTCATATATGTCCTTATTAGTGTATTTTATTTAAAAAAAATCCCAAAATGCCCCTTTCTCCTTAAAAAACCCTTAAATGATCTTAATTGTTCTCCTCTACTCCGACCCTCGATTCCGATCGACAACAGCGGAACTCGTCCCTCCCTCGAACCTCTCAAGACTTCTTGCACCACCACCTTCCCCTTCCCTAACGGAAATCCCAAAATGCCCCTTTCTCCTTAAAAAACCCTTAAATGATCTTAATTGTTCTCCTCTACTCCGACCCTCGATTCCGATCGACAACAGCGGAACTCGTCCCTCCCTCGAACCTCTCAAGACTTCTTGCACCACCACCTTCCCCTTCCTCATTCTCTCTTCCAACCTCTCCGTCAATAGCATCCTCATCACTCACACAAACCTCTTCATTAGCGAACCTCGCGGCATCTACAATGCCGCCATCCCTTTTCCTGCCATCGCCACCATCAATCCCACGTCACTGATAAAACCCAACTGGACTGAAGTTGTTATTCTTATGAGTTAGATATTAAGATCTTGAGTTTATCGTTAAGTCGTTAAGATTTTTAGTTGGTTGTTACGATTACATATTAGTTCAGCTTGGTTGTAAGGTTACATATTAGTTATTAAGTTTACAGTATAGTTGTTCAGTTTATATATTGGTTGTTAATGTTATAGTTTAGTTGATAATGTTACATGTTAGTTGTTAAGCTAGCTCACAGCTTTGTTACTAATATTAGAGTTTAGTTGTTAAGCTTTATAGCGTAGTTGTTAAGTTTATATGTTAATTATTAAGATTGCAGTTTAGTTGATAAAGATGCGCGTAAGTTGTTAAGTATATAATTTAATTATTAAGGTTGCAGTTTAGT